TTATTACAATTACTTGTCCAGTGACATTGGGATCAGGAGGCTCGTTGACTATAGGCATATCTTGGTCCCTATTTCCAAGCCTGCTGGTGACAGGACATACGTGAAAGCCCACAACAGGCAAGAACCTTAACTCATACCCCACAGTTCTTTTAATAGTCAACACATTAGGCAGGATCCCATCTCCCATCAAAACAGCAACTGAGGGGTATTTAAATCAATGTAAAATACCTTATGTTAGCAAGTTGCACAGTTCAATTTGTGATATTACACAGTTTTTAATACTGTCTGTGATATTGCCACCAGAATTGGCCTTTGAGGCATCAATTTTCTCTCACTGAAATAAAGTGAATAAAAAAGGGACAGCGTCAGCACATTGGTGCTATCACGGCAGGGAGGATCAGCAGCTGTTGAAAGTAAAAGAGATGGTAAAAACCACTTTTAGTTGTTTTAAAGAGGGATTTGTTGAGAAATCCATGTAATCCATTGAACTAAATATGTAAATGGTCCATGTGGGCTGATTTTTAGTCTAAATGTGACTAGTTGGGGAAAAATCTATGTACAACTTATGAATTATAGTGGCTGTTATGAAGTTACGAAATTGTGGTATCATAGAAAAATCTCTAAGTGGATGTGCAATCGCCCATTTTCTGACAGTGGCTTTTCCACATCTCTGCCAGAGCAGGGACAACAGTCAGTTGTTCCACCTTAATGGCCACCTATTCAGGTGGCAACACCTTGAGATAGCTAGTTGGCTGAAACTGGAAGAAACTAGTCCCTCCAATTTCTCTGCAAGGAGGGAGTGGAAAATCCTCAGCAATAGAACAAAAGAAACCAGGTGGGGACATATAAACTCAAGGAACTCAGTCTCACAAAAAGCCTTAGACTGGAGAGAGGGGCATGCTTTCATAATAAAGGTGTCCTGTTTAACTGCAGGGCCAGCCGAGGTCAGAGAAATCAACCCGACCAAGAGAGTCTCCATGATTCTGAAGAAAAGCTGCATGAGAAGGATCCCAGAGGACTCTGTCCAAGCCCAAAAAACCTCTCCAGAGTGGTGAGAAAACTGAGGCAGAGAAATGCATATAGGTGTACTTATTATTTTGTTTAGATATCTCTCTCTCTCCTGCTAAGTTAAGAATAATGATGTTTAGAATCCTGCATGAAGTAAGTCTTTCTATCTGCCTTCATTATTGCATGCCTCTGAATGCTAAACTGTAAGCCCAGAGTACCCACACAGCAGGAATTATGGGAAAGGATGTGCTTAAACTATAGAAAGGCTGAGGAGTTAACATTGGTCCCAGGAATTAGGCAACTGGACGGCCGGGTCTGAGCACGGAATGCTAGGTATAGGACCTGCATGCCGAGAGTGAGAGACCCCAGCCAGAGGCTGTGTCTGGACTCTGTTCACACTCAGGAGGCTTAAAAAGCACACAGCCTGGTGATTGTCCAGACAGTGAGGGAATTGTGTGATACAAAGGATTTAATTTGTGTAAATCATATGTTAGCGTTAGCATTTCAGTATCATGAACTATAGTGTGGAAACAAGAGGAATTTAGCTCATAAAAATGTAATTTATCTTCAGATACTTTGCATTTAGTTAGCAAAGTATCCAAGGAGATCAAAGACTTTATGAACATTCATATTAGTCTGCAGGACAATTTTAGAAAACCTCACACTGCTTCTTGTAATATTAAAGTATTACAACATTTCTCCCATCTCACATAAAATGGAGAGCCTATACTAACTACAAGCAGCACATCTGTCACATTCTAGAGAACTAATGCCACTAAACTGAATGTTCTCCCAAGAATCAAGAACACGTGATGTGCTGGTCAGTCAGACATTTTATTCCCACATGGTGCATGCTGTTTAAACTTGGATTTTTCATCTGCCTCTGTCATGACAAAGATCAGCAGAACTGAGAAGTGTTTCAAAGTCCTGCAATGGCATCGACAACCACCAGCTTGGAACCACTTAGGTGCATATCTAGGAGCACTAAATGCACTTATTCCTTTTTTTAAAAAAGAACTAATGCAACATTAACTAAGGGAACACAGAGAAGATGGAAGACCAATACTGCAACTATCTTAACACCTGCTGCATATAAACAAGGAAACCAAAAGTGGTTGTGTCAAACTTACACAGCCTTGCACCTAACATCCTGATCCAGAAGAGGGCATACACACAGACAGCCCCTAGAATCACTGCTTTCTGGATGGCTCACATACATTCTCACTCAAGAGCACAGTTCTGCAGAACAGAAAACAAGATTTTTCTTCAAATTATCATGGTTACTTCTGCATTTTCAAGCTAAAAATAAATTAGTGGTTTATCCTGAAGTAATAGAGATAAAATTTAGTGCTGTATACAGTAACTGCAACCACAGCTGGCAAACAATGACCACTAAAAGGAAATTCAAAAGGCATTGAGAGTTACAACTTCCCCCACAAATTCTAAGAACATGGCTGAAAATGTCTATGCATTGCAAGAATAAAAGCAGCATTATTGCTATTTCCCCCTTTAAGGCTGAAACTTCAAAGTACATTAAGCACTAAAATTGTGATAAAGAGCTAATTTTAAAAAGAGGTCAAACTCAGAAATAAAGAATATGAAAAATGACATGAATATCTAAATTCAGTGATGAACCCTGTGCAGGGGGAAAAGCCTCGTAATAGCCATCAAGCCCTAAGCAGCAGCAATCCACTTACAGTAGATACAGGAAAGGAGACAAAAAAAAAAATCTCATTACATTAATGCCACAGCACTCAAGACGCTCATCACAAGGAATTTTTATAAATTAGTAAACGATCTTACTAATGCCATTCATTACTTCTCTTTCATGGTTTCCATTGAAAGTGTGTGTAAACATGCTTCTATTGAACGAATACTTCAGGGTATATTTTCTGTTCAAAACTGTGTACAACTCCCACTGGCAGTGATCCAAGTTACACGTATACATCAAGAGATTAGCCAAACAGATCAAAAACCTAGGGAAGCAGAATTCTTAACTTCAGAAAATAGCTACTAGACTATGTTAAGTTTCTCATAAAATGTATATAATAAATAAGTATATTCAATATTTACTACATCAAGATGTACAGAGCACAGGATGTAGCATCAGGATACCATTTGCTTGCTACCATTTACTCACACACAACTAAGATTTTTGAAGGGACACTACTTCACTCAGGACATCTTTTGGACTGTCTTATTTTTTTGATAAATTTTTAATATTAACGGTTACACAGCCTCTTTCATCCACAGAATTTGAAAGTGCTTTCAAAATATATAGATATAGATATAGTGATTGTGCAATTCACCACAGGAAATTGGCAGCTGTTTAAGAGAGCCCAGAAACATTACACAATAGGTTAAAGACACATAGTGAATACCATCATAGGTAGCTGAAACTTTTCAGCGGAATTTGACTAGGACCACAGTGTCACGTCTCATAAGATGTTATCTTCCACTTGCACTGTGGTCCACAGAACCAGAATAGAGCACTGACTATGCAGAATCACTAGTTGGTTATCACCGACACCACTTCAACACACAAGTCTGCCCTGGATGACTCTCATCCCAGCACTGATTAAGACTGATCCTACTTACTTTTTGAAGTATGACTAAGTCAGTCAAAGATGATGATCTGGTTGCAGTTTCTGTATTTGTCTTAACATATTAAAAAGTGTAATCATATTGGTGATATCACAACAAAAATACACTAGATTTTGTTTTTCATTTTTATTTGCCAGTGGATACTAACCACATTTGTCCACATACTCTCCAACATGGAGGAAAATTAGTGCACGTTACCTATTCCTACTTACGGCCCTATAGACAAATGTGACTCTTCTTCTGGAAGGGATCAGTAAGTCAGGTCTTCTCAGTCGAGTGATATGTCACTCTTGTTCCACAGATATGAAACCATGAAGCAAAGGATGAGCAAGACACTGTGTGTGCCGTGAACACAAACATTTCTTAAAAACAATGTAACACTTTTGAAGTGCCTCTTTAGCCCACTAGGAAATCTGAGGCTGGTGCCTGAACGTAGGTGGAAAGTCAGTAGTGGTGCTGAACTTTCCCACTGATTCTGAACAACATTTCAGTTCCAGACAGACACAGGTAAGAGCCATACTACCAAGCATGCCACCTGCACCTGCTCTGGAAATGGAGTCTCAGATGAAGGCAGAAGATCCTTCCTACTACATATTAAACCGCCAATCACTGTAGGTGTTCAACTCATACACAAACTGTAGACATTAAAGCCCTGTCCTAGTGAGGAGCTAGAGTTGCAGTCTCCAAAACAGGTGTCCTATGATCTAGAAAGCTTGCTGACAGTGAGATGAAATATAGGTTCAAAGGGGATTTATTTAACAGATTGGCAGGCCGGAGGAACCCGTTATTCCTGTTCCCAAGAACAAGCTTTACCTCAGGCTAAAGGGGCTGAGATCAACTCCTCATCCTCTACGCTCCTAGGCTGAGAGGAAATATTGAACATGCCAATTTGAGGAAAATAAGCCCGTTGTTGTGTTCTTTTAGCACCACATTGGAGGAGGAAGGTGGTACTCTAACCGAGCTCAGTCCACAATATCAGCAGTAAGTAAACGTTAAATATTTCACTACTAATTACTTTTTAAAATGCACATTAGCTATAATACACTCCCATTTATCTACATTCAGGGGGCATCCAAAACTTTTGGAAAACCATGTATTCAGATAAACAGAAGTGCTATTAACTAACATAGTGCTACATGAAGGATACACTGTGGATTTGGATAGCTAGGATTTTCAGATAAAGGGAATTCAGATAACTGGAGTTAAAGGTTATTCTTATTGTAGGTCCTTCATCATTCGATGGGCTCAGAATTTCTAGATTAGGATATATTTTACAAAGATAAACTAAGGAGTAATGAGGAAATGTAAAAATTCTGTGGAAAATTAACACTTTCTGCAATATATTAAGCTAAAAAAAATCTCAAAGAGCTATAAGAACATATACATACTATGCTGTTCATTTCTGAAGACTCATAGCTTCCACATGGATGGACACTCCCAATGGGCTCCAACCCTTCTTCGTCCCACATATATGTTCCATCGGAACTATCAGATGGAGAAAGTTCAAAAGAGGAGCCAGCTCTGTAGTCCATGTCCGGAGAAATCAAGTTGTTCCCAATAGTATGCTTTGTGCTTTCATTCTTGTCATCTACTGCTTAAATAAAAACAAAAACAGTCAATAATCCAAATAATTTAGATTAAAATTAGCACTTATGTTTTGTGTTATTAGCATATAAAAGGATCTGAATGGAAGTGGTGGCAATGGATATTAAAACATTCTCTAAAGTCATCAAGGCTAAGCTTAGGAAAAAAACAAACAACTTTTCCTCCCCCAGTCTCAGGATGTTATAAACTCAATATACCCACAAGTACCTTCTACCAACCTCCAATTTTTTTCCTCTTCCAGCCTTGTAACAATTCTAACAGAGTGAGAGTATTTCTTAAAAAGAACAGGTGACTTAAAAAATTGTGAATTACTCAAATACGCTGAGCCCAGACAGACAGGGCAGAATAGTAATACCTCTCAAGAAAAAGGAAAACTTGTGCAATGAAATGCCCATTAATTAGCGGAAGGATATAGGATATTAAACTCTATAACTGTGCCAAACAACTTCTCCTTATGCAAAATAACTTAACAAAAGTTGTTTTCCAAGAGCTACAGCAACCTTCCTCTCAAAAAAAAAAAAAAAAACACAACTTTACTGACATTGATTATATTAGGCTAAGTTACATATCTACTATACATTTTTCGTAACAATGCTATGATTGAACTGACATTATAAGCCCATGTATACAGGAATTTAAATGTGGCTGAGTTAAATTTTTTTTTTAAACCTTCCTTAAATAGCAAGGTTCAGAAATAATTTCTTTAAAAAAAAAATCACGATTGGCAACTAGTAATTTTAACATGATCTCTCCCTTTTTTCTTACTGTTTGCAGGAACCCTGCATTCTGGCAGCTTCATACATCAGCAAGGTACAGGGCCAACTATGCAGCTTCTGCTGCAGAGAAAACGGCTTGCTGGTAATTTTTCAAAAACCAGCACCCCAAAGAGAGCCATGGGGGAGTAGAGAGAAAAAGGAGTAACATGTACCCCACCAAGAGTTTGGTAAAAAAGGAGAGAAATATCACTTCCTCTCATCCCAAAAGAGAGAGGGGGTCAGGAAGTTGGGGATGGGAAAAGAGGCACGTGTACAACAGAACACTACAAAGAGTTCAGAGCCTGTTTTAGTGATACTAGCCCTGAGCTGTGCGATGTTCCTCTCGCAGCCATATGTGGAGAACCTGAAGGACCATTTGTTCTCCCCTCCAAGTAGCCTTTAAACTCCCACCAGGAATAGGAGAGGAAACTGGGCTTGTGTCCCCCTCCATCCCCAGCCCCTCTAAGTGGGGCATTCACCCACCCCAACCCAGGGGCGGCTCCAGGCACCAGCGCACCAAGCGCGTGCCTGGGGTGGCAAGCCGCGGGGGGCGGCCTGCCGGTTGCTGTGAGGGTGGCAGTCAGGCTGCCTTCGGTGGCGTGCCTGCGGGAGGTCCGCCGGTGCCACGGCTTCGGCGGCAATTCGACTGCGGGTACGCCGAAGGTGCAGGACTGGCGGACCTCCCGCAGGCACGCCGCCAAATCCGCGTTACCAGCGGACCTCCCGCAGGCACGTCGCCGAAGGCTGCCTCACTGCCGTGCTTGGGGCAGCAAAATACATAGAGCCACCCCTGCCCCAACCTCAAAAGTTCTGAGAAACTAAAATTGCCATGAATTTATTCCTCAGTGTGAACCAGTGCCTCTGATTTAAACAAGTTTGTTTTAGAAATCATAGTCTGTGCCATTAGAATAGTATATCTCTTTTGCTTGTGTGCATAAAAGCACTTGTGCAAATCTACCTGGGGGAAGGGGTATGCCACCTCCATGGCATGTTGATTTACCCTGGCAGATGCCAGCAGGTGGAACACCTTCCCCTTCTGTAGGTGCTATATACATCTAAGTTACTGCTATGTGAAGAGAGACTGGGGATCTCTTTTGAAGATTGGGGATTTATAAAAGCATGTACAATGTGGTGAAGTTGTTTGCCACTGGAGCCATAACATAAAATTCTTAACTTGTGCAAATTCCTAAACATAACAATACAAAGTTATCCTTAGGAATTTGATGTTATGGCTCCCATGGCAAATAGCTCTGCCATAAATTTATAAGCATGTATAGCCATAGATCCTGGAACTAGGGGTGCTGCTGCATTCCCTGTCTTGAAGTGGTTTCCCTCATATACACGATTTACAGTTTGGTTCAATGGCTCTCAGCATCCCCACTATACAAATTGTTCCAGCACCCCGTGTATAGCACATTTGTCTGTTAAAAGTGCTCTGATGATGTTTAGGCTATTATATTAGACACATGTTTAGAACCCACAGTTCTGCCCTCTTTCTTAGATCAGGACAAAGCAGTAAATGATTCTCAGTCTCATGCAGGGTATAAGAGGCACCCATCATGCACACAGACCCAAAGTGTGATGCAATATTAGCTCTGAAGAAAGGTATTTCCTAGTATATTGCAACAGCTGCAAAAAGCAAAATAAATGAAGTAATACCACTGCAAAAATAATGGATAAAACAACAAGAGCAAGGCTAATAGTGCAGCTTTTTAGTGAGAAGTGTCAGTTTTTACCATAAGGAGTTTTCATTAAGCTCCAGCAACACCTAATGGGTCAGTATTTCATTGGATTCCTATCTTGTATTTCAGCATCATATGATAATTGACATTTACTAATACTGCATTGAAATAAATGTTAAAGATAAGCATAATTCACTATTGAGAACCATCAACTGAAACTTAAGTTCAATACATTTAAAAAAAATTTAAAACATGAATTGCCATTGTCATCAGTTTTTCCTTTCTAAAAATATCTAAAACAGAATAACAGTTTTCCTTTGGAGGACAACTCAGTTTAACATCTTATATTAGTAGTATTCAATGTTTGTACAGAAGACTGGAAAATCTAGTATCCAAGGCCAAGGATCATTTATCAATATGGCACTCAATACAACTAATTTGGGAATACAGAAAAACTAGTTTTACTTTACCATGATTTAAATACATTAGGAATACTTACAAACAAGTTAGTATTTCAAACAGAAACTTATTTCTCTACATAAGATACTCCTGAGGGAATTTTGCGCCACTGCGTGTGTGCAGAATTCATGTCTCACGCAGATTTCTTTGCTTCCTTGAAGAAAAATGACTTTCTGACAGGGAAGCAAAGGGAAGCTGCAAGAGCAGTCACGCACCACTCCCTAGCTGCGTAGGTACATCGTTTCACACACCCAGAGCAGCCAACGGAGAGGTAAATCACCACAGGGCTGGGAACACCATAGCCAGTGGCTCCTACCTGAGCTGGGATCAGCAGCTAGTCCCAGCTGGGCTGGAGGTAGGAGAGGACGGGACTTGTCAGACCCATCCCCAGAAACCTCCCCCAGCTGCAGGAAGCTCAGCATCCTCCCCTACTTCCTGCTCCCTATCGCTCCTCAGCTGCGGGAGGCCAGGTCACTGTATGGGAGCTGCTCCCCTATCTGCCCAACCCCCATGCATCTGGACCTCCCATACCCAGACACCACCACCAAAGCCCCACTCCGTACACCCAGAACCCCCCTAACCCTCCATACCCAAATCCCACCCCACTGAACCTCAATCCCTGCACCCAGACCCCCTGCTTCCGAACCCCCACCCCTGAACCCAGACCATTCCCCACTGAGCTCCCTGCTCTCAAACCCCGAACCTGATGAGCCTCACCCCTGTGCACCACCTGAGCCCCCACATGAACCCCATGCCACTGACCCCCAACTAGCTGCACCCAGACCCCCACCCCATCAAGCCAACACTGCTGAGCCCCAACAACTTTCACCTGGAAGCGTCTGCAGAGTCCCATTGCCCCTGCACCAAGAACCCCACCAATGAGCCTCTATGCATCCAGATCCTCCCACACCTAGACACCCCATTGCGCTGCCTGCACCCAGATTGTCCCACACAGAACCCTCTCACTCCACACCTGGATGCCCCCCACACACCTGGATCCTGCCTGGTTGAGTCTGCCTGCCCCACACCTGGTGCCCCTGGCGCAGACAGGCTGTTTCTGTGGCAGGCCCAGGTCTTGTGCTGTGTCAGAGTCAGGTGCAGCCTCACTGCTGAGTCCATGTCCCAGGGAAGGGGGAACAGGGAGGCTGCAGGGTGATCTCCCACCTTCGTACAACTAGTGGCCTGTGCTCCCTACTGCCATGCTAGAGCCTCTGCATTTATTTATTGACAAATAAAACTTGCAGAATTTTGCATCATTTTAAAATATTGTGTGCACAATTTTTAATTCTTTTGAGCTTTTTAATTTTGGCACAGAATGCCCTCAGGAGTAATAAGAGAAAGTTAAAAAATAGAGTACAACAAAATATTTACCAGAAACATCTATATCTAGCCATTCATCGGTGTCACAATGAGGACTTTCACTTTCCTTGAGAGAAGTGACTGGATCTACTGGTGTTGCACCTCCATGCCCTAACTCTTCAATAGGGACTTCTTGCTTCACTTGTATTGTTCTATTTGAATCTTCTAGATCTATAAAGTCATCACTAAAGTCTTCACTCAGGTCATTCTTCTCAGAAGAGGACAAGGAAGATATGGATATTTCATCCACATCGTCATTCATGCATATGACTTTAGAGCCATGCTTCCCCAGACTGTCATGAAGGGCTTCACCACATTCTGTTCTTTGACTGTCATTTTCTAGGTCTTTTTTCTCAATGGCTCCATTGACATTTACCGTAATCTCAGAGACCTTCACTATGCACATGTCAGGACTTGTACTTTTGCTGTTATCCACAATGATCTTTCCAGTAAACTGCTGTCTGGTAGGTTTCAGTAAAGAAGGACGACTCATTCCATACCCCAAAGAGGGCGATACCCCGGATCCATTTGAGAGCGGTGGCTTTCTTAAACCAGAGGTTGATATAGCAGTGTATGGCCTGGTAAATCCATATCTTAAAGGTTCATTTCCACTGGGTGCATCCAACTGTTGGGCATTTCTTGACAACAGAGTTGACCTCTGAGATGCTCGAATAGCCAGATGTTGTTTTTGATAAGGCCTTGTAAGATCTACAGCTTTATTAAAGGAATGTGATCTGGTTAAGGATGCAGCGGGTAGGAAAGAATTCTGAATGGAATGTGAAAAGCTTTGTGATCTAACCATTTTTTCACAGGACAAAGATTTAGCATTGTCTGTGGATTGTGCCAAACTCTCTCCTGAACTGGTCCTGGTGGCATTGGAGTTAATTCTACACCTCTGCAAGTCTACAGATGGCCTATTTCCATAAAATCCATTTAAATGCGATTTTGGAGCACTGAGTCCAGAATACGAAGTCCTGCCAAATAACGTACCTTTGGTGAATTTCGCTGAACTAGACAGTCCAGGCAAAGACTTTTGGTTTAATTCTTCGGTAGAGGACACAAACATGTTGACTTGCTTTGCTGTTTTTGATGCTACTGAAGAAGTGCTGTTCAAGCCCACATCTTTACCAAATCCTCCTTGAGAGGGAGAATACTTCTCAGAATCAATTAGTTTTTCATTGGAATTCTGGGCAGAGTTAGACTCACCACCACTTTGATCACCAAGTTGATATTTATTTGATTTTTGCCAGCTAAAAGCAAAGGAAGACATATGAACAGTGCCATTGTGCTTGCTGCAATTTTTGCCACTGCTGCTATGAGAATTCCCTGACAAGGGAACAGCTGTCCTATTTGACATTGGCTGTAGGGTGCTCCCTAAAGATTTTGTTCCATACTTCGGTAACTTGGAAACCAAGGATGTTCGGATAGGATTTTTTTCTTCCATGAGCTATTGGGTTCATTGGTCCTTGAAAGTTTCTTGAATCTGTGGAAATGCAAAAGAAAAAAAAATATTACACTTGAATTAACAACTCAGGAGAACACAATACAGCTAAAAATTATAAATGATCATGTGACACATGGATGCCTAATTATACCAGAAAAATACTGTTTACCTATACATATTTCAAGAGAGTTTCTAGAGATGTTCTAACCACCATTAGTCAATTGTGCAACACAGAGCAAACAAAATGTTTCAACTACAACTAGAAACAGTTTGCTAATGGTAGCCATCTTACTAAAAGGGTGGGATCATTTGCATTATTGCCAACATCAAGTGTTAAAACTCAGTGTCAGGCCACACAAAAAAACATGATTGATTTAAAAATAAGTGTTGCATGTTTTTAATTTGCCCTCTGGTTTCTAAGCCTTTAAGATACACTTATTTTAACATTTTAACATTTCAAGCTTTTCTCTGCATGAAGGCAGGCTAAAAACTATTATTTTAAAATAAAAGCTGAATTTCTCATGCAATCACTTGATTTCAGCATCTGGAGCTTTATGAAAAAAAAATTAAAATATCCCAAGACTCATGAATAAGTCACATGAACTGGCAACACTAACTTGTGAGAACTGCAGTATAGATTCTGACAGGAATTAGTTTTCAAAATCTTCCTTCTGCCTCACCCACCAGCCCCAGCTCTAGCTCTCTGATAGACTCCAGACTACATGGAAAACTATTGTGCTCTCCAACTGGAAATTAAATACCCCTGACTCTTCCTGATCCACCTAGTCTCTGGACTTCTATCTGAATTAACACAAACACAAGCCATTTGTACCGTACTGGAAACAAAGCCATCGCTGCCTGGCTTGGTGAAGGAGGGACACTTTCTGAGTTCTCCGTTCTTGTTCCATATGCATGGCTTCCCGATCAACCTCTTAGAGTATATAGGACCTACAGGTAGCTGTCCACTCAAGAAGCTGAACAAAGGTCCCTATGGTTCAGTAACAAGAACTCCAAGCACCTCATTCAGTATTTCAGAGCTTTGAGCAGCCACCCAAAATTGCAGCACTTGTAATATCACAAATCATGGCAACCCTGTACACATTTGGCTAAAGGGTAATGAATAAAACTAAGTGAAAGGCAAAGTTTAAAATTGTGAATATGTTTATGACAAAATTGCACCAGAATTGAGGACAAGAGAGTCAAAGAGAAAGGATAATATGCTGAAGTACAGGTATTGTGCTCGCAAACCCGACCAACAAGTTATTTTAATTCTGTAGTGTACTCTATCTTTTGGGACTTTTCGATTGCTTTTGATAAGTAATGCTTGTATACTGTGACTTTGTAAATGATAGCAGATGGCATATGCTATGCATTGCAAATGCCACCTATTATATAGAATTTTTTGGCATGTTAGTAGTTTTGGAGAGATCACTGAAAATTCTTTGGCTATTGATCTCTGATATTACTTAATTTTTATTCGGGAAATGTGCAACTTTTTTTAATAGCATTCCACAGGGTTTAACATTAAGATTGGCGGAGTGTGATGTTAATACTTGTGGTGGATGAGTTGCCTGCAAAGTCAAAAACTAAGACTTGTGCCCATTCTTGCTTTCTCATTGTGCATAAGATTTATTATTTTTTTAAACAAACAGAAGAAGACAGGTTCCCCATACCCTCCTTTAATATTAGAAATTCAGTTCTATGACATCATTAGAAATTCTGTTCTAGAGCATGGCCAAAACATCACAAGATGCCCAAATTTGAGAAACAGAGGAAAAATATTTAGTGCAAAATTTTTAATATCTATTTAAATATATTTAATGCCAATGTCCAATGAAAATGTAGAAGCTTCTGTTTGTTAAAGATTCAACAACCTCTGCCCACTAAACTAAGCAGGATTCATAATATACATCAGATCCAAGGCAAATCCCTCACCCACAAATGTCTTCAGCAAAAGCAGGAAAGTCCAGAGTTAAAATCCTTGATACTTCTAAGGTTAAAAGCTAAGATTTTTTTTATATTTTTTGGAGAGAAGAAATTACAGGCCTCCTTTATTCACGATAAGGAAGCAAAACTAAAACAACCACCCTATTATTTTAACAATCATTTGCAAATCACCTGTAAGACTGACTATTTTCCATTCTACAGAGTAACTGGACTCCTCTTACTCAACTCCTTACCCATCCCCAGCCCAAAACCAAAACAAGTTCTTTTCAGCTTCAGTTTCTCATACGCTCTGTGCCAGACATTCTTTCCTTCCCCCTCTCCCAGACAATTTTAACAACTTGGGACAGAGGGAAAATGTGTTAAACAGTCAAAAACACCTAGAAAATTCTTCAATCCTTTTTACCCCATTTTACCTATAAAACAGCTTGTTTGTATGACTGTGACACTCAGGGTGTGCCTATACATCTGGAGCCCAGGCTCTAGGACCCTGGGGGTGGGAGGGTGCCAGAGCCCAGGCTCTATGATTCTGTGGGGTGTGAGGCTTCCAGAGTTCAGGCTCCAGCCTGAGCCTGAAAGCAATGAAAACAGTCTCCAGACTGAACCCCGCAAGCCCAAGTCAGCTGGCACAGGCTAGCCATGGGTTTGGGGTTTTTTTGCTGTGTAGACATACCCACAGACACCCCTTGGCAAAGCGTCCTCTGGTCCTTGCAAACATTCATCTCAGACCTGACAAACTCACTACACCAAACACGTCTTACAGGTCATTTTTCCATAATGAGTATCACGCAAAGGTATCTTCAGAAAGCTCATAACTTGTCAAGGATCAAACACTGCAAGATGTATGTGTGCATTACATTTAAGGAATAATGTATTTATACTGAAAAATATTCTTTATGATCTGGAGTAGAAATTGGTCACCAGGAGATGTGTCTGAATGATGGCTCATTCAAGTCATGCCTCCCTAGTCAGCTGGTGAAATAATGCAAGATTCTATTGTCTACCCTTTCCACATCTCAGAACAGTCAGTCAATGAAAAACCATGAGAAACAACAATCAAAACCTCTTAAATATAGAAAAGAAACTCTACAACAAGGCAGAGTTTCATCCGGCCTGTGAATAGACACGAAAGACTTTTCAGTATAACAGTGTAAAGAAAGAATCTGAATCCATTCACTGAGGGAAACCCCTGATGGAAGGGGATGCTTTCATGAACATTTGTATCCTAGTTATTGATAAACCAGCCAGCTTCTAAACAGACTGAATTTGGAGGGGAAAAAATCTACTTTATTAGATAAAGTTAACTATTTATAAATGTAGAGACAAATTCATGCTTTATGATTTTGTTTTGTAACCACGTTTCCACCACTCTCTGGTTTCTAGTTAAATCTTAATTCTTTCACATAATGAAACAAAAGAAGGTTTATTTAAGGGCTCACAAGTGCTGCGTGGTTTACAGGAGCAGTGGTTTAAAGTAAAACTGGTAAATTAGGATACACAACACCTTTGGGTGCAGAGGATCTGGAAATTCTGTGAGTAGCCAGTGTCAGGGGATGGACATCCCAAGGGAATGATCAAAGAGATTTGGGGATTGGAGGAGAATGCCCGACTGGCTGAAGGGCTGACAGCTGTCAATAAGCTGATACCCAGCTACCACAAGAGAAACTCTCTCTCATGGGAGGCAGGGGGTAACAGGGTGACTTTCAGTCCTGAGAACCATCACAGACCTGAAGTTACGTTTGTTTAAAAGATTGTGACAAGATGTAAATGTAGGGAAAAGGAACAGTACAACAATGAAAAGCTTATTTAAAAGTTACTTATTAACAAATTAAGACCGTCACAATGACATGTCAAAGTCTGGGGTACACGTCATCTTCATCTTGTATTTAAAGAATAGATGGGGTAGGTAGACAGGATTACCGTTATAACTGTCCAAAGTAGCATTATGAACAATAAATAATAGATATGGAATACTGATGGTCAGAGTAGGTGTCCTGTTACTATTTCTGCCGCCTCCATCATGGAAATGAAGGACAAACAGTCAAATTAATCTCCAGCCATGTCATTTACTGTAGTTTCCAGTTACCGTGTCCCAGATAACAAAATGTAGGTCACATTAAAAGTAAATCAATTCTGTAATTTTAACGTACTCAAGCTTTAACTGTCTTACCATACATACTATGCATTCATTAACAATCAGGGAAAAGGTACCGAGTTCATTTTTGTAAGTGATATTTTAAGTGAAACAGTATTTTTAATACTTCATAAACTAAAGGGTCCCTGGCTCAGCAGCTGTGCATAAGCTTAATCAGCAATTCAATAATCAGCCTAAAGATGCTGCCAGAGTATATAGATTTTTTTCTAAATGCAGGGGGGAGGTGAGGGAGGGAGGGAGAGAGAATCTGGAGGTAATGGCAGCAATATGCAAGAAATTAAGGTCAGAATTGATCATGGATTTTGGTCTTCGTAACAAACAGGTTATGAAAAGATTATCTCAGGTTATTGCTGGAACAAGTGTGTGTGGGGAGAGGGGAATAGCACATCTTTCTTTTGACTCATAGACTCATAGACTTCAAGGTCAGAAGGGACCAATATGGTCATCCAGTCCGACCCCCCGCATGATGCAGGCCACAAAAGCTGACCCCCCCACTTTCCCTTAACTCTGCTGTTGAAGTCTCCAGATCGTGATCTAAAGACTTCAAGTCGCAGAGAATCTTCCAGCTTGCGACCCCTGCCCTATGCTGCGGAGGAAGGCGAAAAACCTCCAGGGCCACTGCCAATCTACCCTGGAGGAAAATTCCTTCCCGACCCCAAATATGGCGATCAGCAGAACCCCGAGCATACAGGCAAGATTCTCAGACCCAGACTCTTCCTATTCTCCTCTCTATTCAGGACTGATACAGCAGCATTATGTTCTCAGAGCCAGATTGCTTTTTATATATGCATAAAAAATTGATAGCCATAAATAATTGAACTGTATAAGACTAGGGAATTTAGGTATGACGCTGCATCCAACAAGCCTCCTTTCCAACACAGGATTACAAATGATGCATTCAAGAAGTGAATGCGATTGAAATTTTCAGCAGAAGTCAGGA